CCCCAGCCCACTCTCACAGCCCATCTCTGGGGTGCAGGGTTCTGTSCAGCCCAGCAGGACTTTCTGGACTYTCTGCAYRTGTGTGCAGAGAGCTGGAAGCGACAGTGGGGATGCCTGGGGGGGAATGGGCTGAAAAGGGGAGAYTGTAGTCAGCTGAAAGCTTCTCTGAGGGCTCTGCACCCATGAATAGGGTCCACAGCAGTCCTCACAAAGTGGATGCGTGACAGAGCACTTGCTGCCTCTCTGTGAGCTCATTTCCTGCAGTTTATCTCCTCTTGGGTAACTTCTGTGCTATAAATAATAGAAACTATCAGCTTGGAAAAGGCCTTTAAATTATAAAGTCCAGACATTAACTTGGCATGGCCTCAGAGAAACTTCACATCCAGTAACTTAAATGTGTTAATACTGCGGGAACAGGAAACCCAAGAAATGGGAAATTATTTCTCCTGGAGTCAGCACGAACTGGGCCACATGCCCTGATGCTGACCAATGGTGCACATARGCTGCAGGGAGCAGATGAAATGCTGCTCACACAGAGGCTTGAGTCATTACTCGGGGCAGAGATCTGTGAGTGATCAGGGAGCCCTAACCCTAACMAGCTGGCTTTCTAGCTGCCAGTAGCCTGAAATCCATATTATTAGCTTTACTCCCTCCATTCCTCCCACATGACCTCTTTACACACACCTTACCAATGTGTGTAAATCACACCTCATTGACAAGACAGTGCCAGAAGGCAAGTGAAGCTGRTAACAGCACCCCACGCTTTATCAGCTTGTGCTGATTTGGAGCCAGGGGAAGGCACAGGCAGCCAGYCCAGCAAGCCCTCCAGCCCTGCCTCTGCCAAGGTTTCACAACTTCRTGGCACTTAGCAGTGATTAAATTTGTTTAAACTGATCATTTGCTGGATTACATGACAGACAGCAGATTACCAAGAGACTTTTAGAGCCCAGGAGGTGTCAACTTGAGAAGAAGTCTAAAAGAAGCAGGAAAATCTGAACTGGTGTTTGGAGTGGGTGCAGCAGTGCCACACTGTCAGCTTTTGGTGATRGCTACTCTCAACAACCAGGTCCAGCACAGAGAAACTCTCTGCCCCAGAGGCCTGTCAGCATCTCACGGGTGGGGTTTTGGTTTTTCRTCTTTAAAGATTTCAAAACTCTTGGGAAAGCAAGCACTGGATTGCTTTAACTTAGGGAAAATCACAGCCTTGAGTAATGTATTTTTACCCCAGATTTGACTACGTGCATACTGTGTTATTAAAAACCTACACAGGACTCTGCATGAGGTGAAGAAAAGACACCAACYACAACTGCCAGCGTCAAACCCCCCTGCTCAGCTTGAGGGACACTGTGCTGAGATGGCAGGGACCATTTGGCACCCACTGTCTCTGGGGTGCCTGTGTAGAATCACAGAATGGTTTGGGTTGGAAGGGATCTTAAAGATCATCTCATTCCAACCTCCCTGCCATGGGCAGGGACACCTCCCACTACACCAGGTTGTTCCAAACCCCRTCCAATCTGGCCTTGGACACTTCCAGGGATCCAGGTGCAGCCACAGCTTCTCTGGGCAACCTCTGCCAGGGCCTCTCCATCCTCACAGTAAACAATTTTTCCCTAATACCTAATCTAAACATACCCTCTGCCAGTCTGAAGTCATTCCCCCCTGTCCTGTCACTACATGCCCTTGCAAAASGTTTTTCTCCATCGTTATGGTGGCTCCCTTCAGGCCATCCCAAAGACTTCTYTTTTCCAGGCTGAACAATCCCAGTTCTCTCAGCCTTAGGGGAGCAGTGCTGCCCCAGATTTGGGATGTCAGATGAAGGGGCTCCCAGGCTCCTGCTCTGTGTCTGTACCTCTGTCAATACTTTCAGTGCACAGGTCCAGGGATCTCTGCTCAGGAGTGCACATTTATGTACCTGCAAGCACAGTTAGCCAGAGACCAGCAAAGCTCCTGCCCTGCACCTGCCTCTCTGGCAGCCCCACAACCCCCTGGCTTTAATTTCAGCAGGACATGGCTGAAGGAGAACCAGCCATCTCCATCCCAGAGGCTCGAATTGTCCCTTCACCTCTGCTTTCCCCATCCCAGGGTCACTTCCATGGGATTGGGCTCCCTCTGGCTGCTGGGGTGTTTTTGGGCTCTGGTGTGGTTCTGGGGCAGGGATGGTTGTGCAGATGGGGCTGCCCACTGAGGTGGGCTTCTGGGAGGCAGCAGCRCAGACACACACTCCACCTAAAAATTTCCAGCTGACTTGAGCAGTTTCAGTTTTTCCATCCTATCTTCTGGCCAAGTCATAGCAGTACTGATGATATCACAGGGTAGGGAGACATGACTGCTCATCTGGCAGATGACTCTGCCACATTATCAGCTAAACTCCTCTGGGATTTTTTTTCCTTTTTCTTTTTTATGCTTTGTTCAGCCACCAAATATCAGAAGACTTTTTTCCACAAAAAAAAAAAAAAGTTGATTTCTTTGCAGTTAAGCCTAAACCTAAACTCATATCAAGCAAATGCTAGAAATCAAAGAGGATCAAAAAGGAAGCTCTTCAGACACTCCAGCTGGCATGATAAGATCCCAGGCAGGCAGGGGTTTTAAAAGTCCCCCCTTCATTCCAATGTCATTGTGAGAGGCAGGATGGGCCATCAGCCAGGGTAAGTGCATCACAACCTTGAGACAAGTGTGAGTATCACCTCAAACTACAGGGACTTTACTTTCCAGCACAACCAACATCTCCACCCAGATGTACATGGATTTTGTAGATGGCAAATACACAACTACTAATGAATCATAACCACAAATATTTTTTATCCATTAGCAAAATTAGCCAGTCGGGATTAATGCAATCACAGAAAAATCAATGGTGCAACCACAGAAAAATCAGTGGATGAAGCAAAAAATTGACAGGGAGAATCTTTGCCTGAAAGATGGGCATGAAACCTGGCAAAGCACAGTCCAAACCATTTGAGATTTGATGGTAGCTCACAGCTAGGTCTCCTACCATAACCCACCATCAAAGCAGGATGGGACAGCAGCTTGGAGGCGGTGGCCTGCTTCCCCCTGTGTCCCAGAGCCATTGGCACTCACACAGCTGTCAGTGTCCATGGGGAGCCGCCGAGGGTATGGGCAAGAGCGAGCCTGAGCGTGGACAGATTTCCCACCACTTCCGTGTCCGGATCAGGGCTGGAAAGGTCAGATCAGCGAGAGCCCGTGGCATTCAGAGCAGAGAAAGCCCCGCTCGGCACACGGCCGCCTCCCCGCTCGCCCTGCCCGCCTCGGTGACCTAGTTGAGTCATGGGGGGATGGCAGCGAGAGACATCCTGCACTGTGGTTGGCACTGACGCTCTGGGGACAGCGAGGGGCTTCTCCACAGGGCACTGCCTGTTCCTGGAGGTGGAGGAGCAGGGYGAGAGGGCACCCCGAGGCAGGGCTGGCTCTTGCTTGCACCCATGTCATGCCAGCCTGCTCCTTGTGCTGCAGTCCAAAAGGAAAAGCTGGTTTTTATGATTTGTCATTCTCTGGCCAGAGTGAAGGATGTGGCTGGCAGCTGCCTCCCCGCTGATGTGTGGGAGAGATGGCACAAGCTGGAGACACAGGTTGGGTGTTGAGGAAAGGAGCCAGGCCTTGGGTGAGCTCCTGCAGGGCCTGGCTGGGTGTAATCCCCAGTTCAGATACACTAAGTGTAATCAGATATGTGTTTTCTGTTTGCAAGTGCTTTACTTGCTCAAGTTTCAAAGGAAATGTATCCACGTGTTGAGTCACTGCTTGATGTCTTATCTGATCACTGTCACCCCATGGAACCCATCCCATTCCCACATGGAACATCATTCCCCTGGAGGCAGGACACGTGTTTGACCTCCTGAGGCTGCGTGAACCCGGGGCAGCAGAAGGCGGGCGCTGCTGCCACTGGCTGTGGCCCTCTCTGCACCCCCACGCACAGAACACATTTCCTGGGAAAAAGCAGAGATTTGTTGTTATTCTTGGCACTAAAAGTTGCTCAGCATTGCAAAACAAAGGCTGAGACAGACCTTTTTATGTCTTTTTTTATTTTCTTTTTTTTTTTTTTTTTTTTTTGAAATGCCTTTTTTTTTAATGTGCGCAAACTTTTTTTTTTGCAGACTGAAGGCCTCTCCAGCTAAAAACGGAGTGAGGCTGGGGCTGGGGCTCTTTCTGCCTGGGGGTTTATCCAAAGCAGAGTCAGGACAGAGAGGCTTCACCTCAGCTCTGAGATGGGGTGCAGGTGACCCCCTGCTGCAGCCATGCCCTGATGCTGATGTGTCCCCACGTGAGCTGGCGGGTCTGGCCACCACAGCTCCCTCCCTGCCTGGGACATACTCCATGAAAGGAGAAAAGATGCTGTGAAAAACAAGGTAATAATCTAGGGCTCTTTCTGCCATGCCCAGCCTTGAAGGGAACTGAGAAGGTTGGCAAGGAAAWGTTGTTTTGGGGGAATAAACTGTCTTGCTCGCATCTGAGTTACCCCTTGCATCTGTACTGAAGATTCAACTGAAAGAATTTGTCTTACTAGGTTCCGTGAAGCTGCAGACACTAAMAAAGCAAAGAATCCCTAAACACCAGATGAGGAAGAGATGATTTATCAAGAAGGAGATGTCAATAAATTCCTGAGCTATAAGGTTCTGATTTTGTAGTYACGCAGTGAAAATATTTCAGAACTGTTGGATGTCAGCGTGGGAACCTGTCCGGAGGGCTGTGCCTATCTGAGGGAAAATGAAAGGGCTCAAATACTCCAAGAATCTGTTTCACATGTGAGCTCTGGTGGACTGACAGGGAGAGGAGACTGCCTTGGKGGGGAACTGAGGAACGCTCCCATCTGCAAAGCAAAGAGGATGATCAGCCAGAGGCACATGGAACTCATTACGGGGMACATGGAGCTCACTGCAGCATGCTGGGAAGAGCCTTCTGAGACTGTAAGGGACTTGCTGTGGGATAGCTGAGGAAAGGGATGAATCAAGGTGGGAGGAACCAGTGTGGGAAAGCAAAGGGAAAGGGGGACAAAGAGGACTTGTTAGTGCTTGGCGGGCCATGCCCCGTGCCTGGAGGTTGCAGCACGTCCTGTCTGCTTTCCRAACTCTCTTTAGCTGTTTCCTTGCTGAGAATCTGTGCACAGTGTGGATGGGCATGTGGGCAGGCTGGAGTCCCAGTGATGGGAGGGACAGTGTAGGGAAAAGCAGCCTGAGAGACTGGGCTGTGGCTGGGTGTGCTGCTGTGTGCAATGGCTAGCAGTGAGCCAGGCCAGTTGGGAACCTGCATAAATGGCTCAGGAGTTAGGACAGACTGCAGAGACTATRTCTAGGAGCAGCAACTGAAGGAATTTTTAATTTATATGTTCTGYTATGGGGTTTCATCCTGATAAGCCTGAGGGGAACAGGACAAGTCCACTCGTGTTCCTTGTGTGAGGGCTGTGCATTTTCTGCCTGTGCTCCAGTGGGACGCTGTTACAAACCCATTCCTGCTTTCCTGTCTGCACAGAAGTGTCCCCTCCCATGCTCTCCCAGGGGATGCAGATGAGGGAGCCCCAAACGTGTCCCTGAAGCCCAGATACATCTGTGTGTCTGTTAATTTTTCATCTAAGGACTAGTGGAAGTGGCAGACGGAGAACAGAACACACGCAGGTCCTCTGCAAACATCTGTGGTGAGTGCAGCAGCTTGGGAAAAAACAAACATGAACTTCTTGCTCTCTTCTTGCAGGATTCATCTTTACCACACACACTTCAGTATTTAGATGTTTCTTCTGTGAGAAAGATTAGGGAAAGTTTTGGGAAAGCACAGCAGGAGAGAAAAAACAGCCACACCAAATTAGCACCGGTAGAGCAGATGTTTCTGCCCAGTGAATTACAGGGCAACTGAGCAGAGATAATTAACACAGATAAATCAAAAAGTTGATCACAAACGCTCGACAGCTTCTGCAGGGACTGCAGCAAGCAGGCGCTCTGGTGCTACCCAGCTCGCACTCTGCCACCCCTGTTGGAGAGCTGCAGCCCAACTTTCACCTCCAAAACATAGTGCAGAGGTTTATGGATGCTTCTGCTCCCCAAGCGGAGGAAAAATGGGAAACGCAATGCAAGGAGAAGGATTGGGACTGCATCTGCACCCTGTGCTCTGTCCTCTCCTGTAAGGACCACAAGATCATCAGTTTGGAGGTGGTGTGGGGAGTATTGGAGGTTGTACATAGTGAGGGGGTTTCTTAGGCTGACAGCTGACAGGCATAGCCATTAATGTCAGAGGTGAATGAGATTGCAGCAGTAAATCAGGTAGGGGAATTGGAGGAGGAGAAGATAAGAGTTAGCTAACACTTGAGCGGTAGTGGAAAACACAGCAGCCGAATTTTTATGGGAGTTAAATCAAGTAAGTTTTTAAAACCAAGTAAGTTTTTTACCRGAGTTAAATCAAGTTAAGATCAGACTTTTTCTCAGGCTTAGTAGGACCAGGATCAAAAGGATAAATATCTACAACAGGCTCAGCAGGCTGCAAAGCTTTTAGAGCAGTATACACAGATTTCCATGTAACTAACATATCATCAGTGACCAGCTGCCCTTGTTCTTCTTGTGCTTCTAACTCTGCTCCCACCTTTTCCCACACCTTAACATTGTAGGAACTCTGAGGGGGAGTACATTAGAATTGTTATTGGACCACACTAATAAAGCAGTTAACTTAACTGTTGGGGTGTTAAATCCCTGTTCTTTTAAAATTCTCCATAAAATCTCTAAATAAAACTTGTGCTCCTGGCACAAACCTGTCCCATAGCTCCGCGTTCGCRTCTCACCTGTCCAGCAAGCAGAGACTGAAGGTCAGGGATCTCCTCCATGCACAGCTCAGTTTGAAAGTGGCTCCTGCTGACAGAGATCCAGTGATCGTGTCCCAGGATGGGCAGCAGCTTGGGAAAAAGCCAAATATGATCCTCTGCTCTCTTCTTGCAGGATTCATATTTATTGCACACACTTCAGTACTTATATGTTTCTTCTGTGGGGAAGTTTAGGGGAAGTTCAGGGAAAGTTGGGAAAGTGCAGCCAGAGAGATAAAACAGCCACACCAAATGAAGCACCCGCAGAACAGRCATTTCTGCCCGGTCATTCATGCAAAGGCACCCACACACAGGTGCTTGTGGCTGGCTAGAGTCAATCCTTTGGTATGTGCTCCCATGGTCAGGATTACTGCAGCAGGACGCTGCTTTTCCACAGAACTCTTGAGATGACTGCAGCAGGATGCTGCTTCTACCGTCAGGGGCTCAGGCCACCTGGATTTCCCACTGCTGGCACCCCTGGGGGCTGGTAGYGTGACAAGGGCAGGGGGCCAGAGGCTGTGGGGGCTCTGGTGACAGCCCCAGAGCTGTCCCCCTGCTGTAAAGGCTGCTGAGCACAAGAGCTGCTGTGTGTGAAACAGAGARAGCTCTGCCCGGGGTAACTCATCCAGGGCTCTCGGTGCTGCCCGGCTGCCCCCTGAGCAGGCCAATCTGTGGAGCCCCTGAATGGCACAAACACACAGCCATGGCTCTGGTGCCCCATCCACAGCAGCACAACCTCGGGCAAACAGGGGCTGCGTTTGTGGCTGCACGAGAATGACACAGCAGCTGGGAAATGTCTGCTGCCCCTGCTGTGCTGCTGGTTAATGTCATGCAGACAGTGAAATTTGAAGACTGAAAACCTCAAGGAATTACCCCCTTGGATGAGGGGCCAGAGACTGCCTGATTTTTGGAGATATGGACCTTTCCTCATCTTGCCCAGAAGTAGTTTAAGCCTACAGAAATGCTGTTGTGATAAGAACTTTTCAATTKTACATTAAAGTTGCATCTTTAGGTAAGATAATTTAGATAATTCAGTGTTTTGCAAATAAAAGGATTATAAAGAGAGAACTGAGCAGGTTTYTTCTGTGTGCTGTATTAAAATAGAGATTGGCATCAGCTCCCAGCAACATTCCCCCTGCAGGTCCAGAGAAGGGATCAGTGATACTGCTGGGAAAATCTCCATCAGACTCATGTGAGACCAAAGGCAATGTTAGGAGAGTTTACAATGGTTTCAGAAGGACAATTCGTTACACTGAGACTGTTGTACTGGATTCAAGTGCTATACTTGGCCATTTTTAAGTTTTTTGATCACTGAAGAAGTGGTCAGGGCTTAAGAAGTGGTGACCATGRTCTGACCATAATCATTATGAGCAAAAGGAGAGCAGCCCCAGCCAGTAATACAGAGACTTRATATTGCAAAAGAGCTAATATAAGTTACGGGAAATTATGAGCCAAATTGACCAGGTGGAAAGAACAATAGCTAAATGACTGTGAATGGAAAATTAAAGAACCCTTTAACATATATTTGAGAGACAGTGAAGGAAACAATTTAGCCAGAAGCTTAGCCTGACAGCTGTTAGAAATGAGAAAACAATATTGAGAAAACAGAAAAGGAAAGAGTTCACAGTGTTCATGAGGGAGAGGCTGTGAAGCATTGTTCCAATCTGTTTGTTTTTATTGACATCAGATGCTGATTCAGTCTCTGTAGTTCCATAGCTAAGGGATAAACCTTTGCTGATGAAGCTGAGGGTGAGAGGCAGKCGAAGTGGTATTGCATTCATCCTGATCAGCAAGGGATGCTAAAATATCACCCCAATAAAACACTGGCAAAGGGGTKACATGGCTTAGGTGGGAAATGGCACTGCACGTGGATCTTTCTTTCTGGGTTTTGCTGGAACAGGAATAACATCTAATCCTTCTCCAACTCTTGTCACGCAACAGTTTGAGGTAAATGCAAGGCCATCACCAYGGATTAAAAAGCCACCCCAAAACAGAGGCTGGGATTTGCAGACAGAGCTGTTACAGTCTCCAACCCATCTCTGTCCTAGAAAGGCCAGCAGCTCTTATCTCCCTTTCTTCCTACTGCAGTCTCTACTTGCCTACCACCCCTTTACTCAMACTTCAGCTATTTAAGGGAATTAATAAGGCTAATAAAAGGAAGTAACTCTGCCTGCAAATCTTTCCCCAAAATCTGCTTGCAATTCCTATTAAGTTTGAAAGACATGAACAGGTCAGAAATCCACAGGAAGACTCACGAGCTACAATAAAACCTTCTTTTCAGAAGGAATGACTTTGGGAGCTTCTCTGCTGGCCAAAAAACTCGCACAGGGGTGATCAGGGGAGGCARTCAGGTCAATGATGGCAGTGCCAGATAGGAAGAGAAACCACTTCCTTAACCCAGAGCAGGGCTGCATCCGGGGCATCACGGTCTTTATGTCCGTCTTGGGGGTTTCTAGCACCACAGGAATGAGTAGGAATAGAGCCCGCTAACCCAGAGAGCTCTGCAAGTGCTCAATTTCTGAATGTCATCTGTACAATTCTTTCTGTTTCTTTTCACAGGTTATTTATTCTCCGTACCAGAAAATGTCAAGAAGATGTATTTGATTTTTCTCTSCTGATATCTGACAGCATGATGGTGTGTTATGGTGGGATTTCTGACTGAAGCAGCTGTAACACAAAGGAAGGGAGATGTGTGTGACTAAGCTCACCTCGACCTTTCAGAGGTCCCACAGCCCATGCTTGGCCCCGACCCACTCAGYTGGTGGCTGATAAGGGAAACCCATTCTGAGGAACAGAAAAGCTCCATCCACAGAGGCTCACCGTGAGACAGAGACGCAGTGCTCAAGGCAGAGACCTCCACAGCAATGGAAAATCACCTGTCACATCCTGAGAGGGGCAGCAGCTGACCTTTGGAACCTAACAAGTCCAGTGTGAAATGCCAGCTGAGGAAATGCTGACTTTGGTTTGCTGCAAAGGCTGCACTGCTGCCCATGGGCAGTGCTGGAAATCACTGATGTGGAAAACCATTAAACACCCGGCTCTTCCTCAGGCACTGTGCCCACTTACAGATCCTCCCTAGCCAGGCACCAAGAGCTGCCAGCACTGCCAGGGAGGCAAATCCTARTCCTGGCCCAATGCAGCCAGCACTCAGCATTGTGTCCTCCTGGAAAAGCACCTTCTCCTGGCCCAGGGGCTGTGACAACCAGGAAAAATGACTGCACACAGCAGCGGGGCGCCAGCAGCTGCTGGAGGTGTGCCCTGGGAAATCCATCCACTGCTCATCTCCCTGCTCCCTTAACACAGCTTCCTCGGAAAAACAGCAGCAGGATGAGGCACAGTGAGATTTCCCTCAGTGAAGTGATTATGCTCCGTTTTGGTGATCTCGCCACTGAATCCTGGCTCAGCCTAAATGTCAGTATTTTTCTTTGAGATTTCACAGTGTTTTCATCATTTCTGTCTCTAATTCACACTGCCARAAGTAGCCAGACTAACAGGAATTCCTTCTGGTTCAGTGTCTTTCCTGTCAGAAATCTTTGACATATACACATCAGCCAAAAAGTGGTTATACACAAGAAAAGGTCACATGAAAGTGAAATTAACACAGGATCATAAAATATCCTGAGTTGGAAGGGATCCACAAGGATCATTTTGTCCAACTCCTGAATTTTTAGAGAGCCTCTCCACCAGCCACCTCCAAGAATAACCTTTCAGCTCAGATTCATAATCTATGTTGATATTTTAGCAAAAGACTATATAATACTTTTCCAGTTTAGGGTGAACTAAGCAACTAAAATCAGTCAGGAATCAACAGATTCTTGATGTGCTGAATGTGAAAAGCATTGGTGTCCTTGATGATGAAAGGAGACAAATAGTTAATGTGGTTCAGAGACACTGGAACAGGAATACACAAACCTCTTAGGCAAAAGTCCTTGTCTTCAATAAATAAATCTTAGTTATAAAATACTTTTATATTATAAAATACATTTATATTATAAAATACATTTATATTATAAAATACATTTATATTATAAAATACATGAAAATTAAATACATATTTTAAAATTAAAATGTGTTTAATTATTAAATATTTCTGGAGTGGACAGAGACATTAAACAGCAGTAGCTGGGGCACACAAAGGTCTTCCCTTTTTAACTTTAACTTTGCTTTTCTCCCCCTCAAAGGCTTCCTTTGCTATTCTCTACTGTTTTACTAAATGAAACCATGCATCCAGTTATTCCTGAGGCAAGGACAGCCTTGCTGGAAGACAGGCAACYATACACAAGAAGACAACCCAGCATGGGGTCTATTGATTGCAGCAATGAGAGCAACAGCCCCGCTCTTCTGGTAATTAATTCCAAGTGCAGGCCAAACCCTAAACTGATCGGTAAAAGCTCCCAGCAAGAGCTGAGAGGTCAGATGTCTGCTGTGAGCATGTCCCCCTTYCTGCCTGGCTTGCCAGAGGATGCCCAAGGAAAAGGGCAAGTCCAGGAGGACAAGGTGCATCTTTCCATTTTGTTCACAAACCATCCCCCATCAGCTGCCCGCCTGCTGAGCGGCAGTTTCATACAGACCCTGCTTCACAGGTATTATGAAAAAAAGAATCAATTGCTGGAGATGCAGTGCATGTCCACAGCTACTTCTCTGCCCAAGGGTTTTCCTTGCCCCACAGACAACATCTGGTGTTGTTCATGGAAAGCCACACTGCTTGCTACTTGTTTCCTTTCTCCTTGGAGCTGTTTACAAACAGTTTAATTGGTTCTTCCAMTGTTCTTCTAAGAAATTAAATTCTCCTCTATAACTGCCCTACTTCTTTTGAGGGGATGACAACACTTTTCCTGAGAAATGGGACTTAAATGAAGGCAAGTGCCAATAARGGCTGCCAAGTCTTGGTTGAAGGCTCCTGCTCTGTGACTCGCACACAGAGTGCTCCCCATGGACCAGGAGCTGTGCTCTGTGCCTCTTCCCACTGATCTGGGGCACTGGCAGGCAGGGCTCCAGCTGAATCCTGGTACGACCATGGCACTGCAGGATTTTGCCTTGACCCTAACCAAAACGTTTTAGCTGAAGTTATAAATCACTCAGCTCCCCAGTTTGRGAAAGCTCAGAAGTGACATACTAATGGAAGAGGTATTAGATTTTTGTCAAAACCAAACAAACTAGCATGCCTTTTTACCAACCAAACACTGGTTCCTGTTAGTCCTTGCTGGAATAAACTTCCTGCATGTGTCAGTGAGAGGCATTTATTTTGAAAACTAACAAGACCACCTGAGCAGCGGGTCCAAAGCCATCCCAGCCCGTCTTCTCACTGGAATGACTTAATAACAGCAAAGGGTTGAGGCAAACCCTAAGAGACTCCAGCTTTAGGGTCCTTGTGGAAGAGAGACCCAAATAATTTTGATAAATACAGCAGATTTGGGCAGATACTGGGTGTGTGCAGCAGGTCTGCARTGTGTTGGGATTCCAAAGGCCTGGAAGGTTTCCTTTCAGAGGGAGAGTGGGGTGTCTGAAAGTCACAAAGTAGCGTGTGCTTGGATTTCCATATGCAAGGCAGGAGGAGAGCCTAACAGCAATCAAAACCACGGAAGAGTCTGTGCATGGGTGTTTGTGATGGCTCTGGATGAGCTGTCCTCTTTCCTGTTTCGGATCCAATGCCAGGGACATTACTTGAAATGCAACTTTCGATCCGCCGTGCTACCGGCGCTGCTAACTCAGGCTGAGAGACACTTGCACTGGGGAGTACAGAAATGACAAGACAATTTCAGAAACACATAAGCACAACCTTCACCCACAGGGTTTTTTAGAGTTTTAGAAACAAAACCAGTACAAAATCCAGAGTCAGGGAGAGAGGAGATGGAGATGAGTAGAGCTCATGCCTGGTTCAAAGGCACGTGTGTGAGATGTGGGAATTACAGGGTCCCAGGGGTTTGGAATGTCTCAGCTCAGCACTCTGGCATTTTTGCAGAAATTAAGCAGTGAGCAGAAAGCCCAAGTTCCCTATCCTGGAGAGAACAGGCTGGGATACTCAGAGCAGCTTTCCTGAGGGCCTTATAAGCCCTAGACATGACACTGCAGATCCATAGAAGCAAACAATCTTCACATCCCTCCAGCCCCAGGAGGCCTCTGCAGCACCTCAAGGTATTACTTCATTCCTCTGCAGGGCATGGCCAAGCCTGGGTCCCGTCCCAGCCAGTGCTCCCAGCTGCTGTGTGAATGCAGAGTGTCACAAAATACCAAACTCACACTCTGTGTCCCAGGGAACTGCTCTGGGTAGCACAACCCCTCCTTGCTGTGGCTGCAGCAGTATTTCTGGTTGAGGAAGGAGGGTTAGGGCTGTTTCTGGGGCCTCTCATCGGGCTGGGGCTCAGCTGGGGGCTCCAGCACACCCAGCCAAGTGACCACTGGTGGGTGTGGAATGAGAATTTCCATGCACTCAAAACCCAGTGGAACATGTGAAARCTGAACCTTCTTCACTAAGTTTCCRTGARTTGTGGTGTGTTCAACAACACCAGAGTGCATTCCTCACTCAATCCACCATCAAGGACAGTGAGCATGGGGAGTCCTCATGGCAGGACCCAGCTGCTGCACTCCCTTCTTCCTTTGGATTATGTTCACAGGAAAAATACACAAAAGAACATTACTCCCGCTTCCTCTGCATGCAGGTTGCATGTCAGGACATGTGCCTTGTGACAGGTTGAGAGGGCACATTTTGGGGAAGGGAAACTTGCTGACAACTCATCCCTAGAAGGCAGGTAATCATACTCCCAGTGGGCTCAATCCTCACCAGGAGAAGGCAGCGCCTGACTTCAGTCACAATATGGTAATTTGTAGCCCAAAAAAGCCCAGCAAAAAGAGAAAAAAGTGATGCAAAGTCTGTCACCCAAAATAAGCACAGGAGATGGTCCCTGCTGCAGTCAACTGACGTYTGGCAGCTCGGGGTGTCACAAGCAAAAGTCACAAAGAGACCAACCAAAGGGTTGTGCTGGTATTCCAAGAGACAGGCTTCCCTCTTCCAGGAAGCAAGACTRGATGGCCTGGGAATGCCCCTCTGGAGGCATTTCCTGGACTACACGTTTCTGAGTGCGCAAAAAAGGGAACGTGCTCTCTAAGAGTTCTCCATTTTCTCCCTCCTATGCTTTGTGCATGGCTTTAAAACACTTAAAGAGTAAGAAAAAAGTGAAAAGGGAAGTGCATATTTTCTCTCCAATTTTATRCTATCCACCTATCCCACATCCCTTCCTACTCATTGCTTCTTTACARAAGAGAGATTTCAGGAGCATCATATGGTGTTAGCAAGGGAGAAAAACAACCCTGTGCCCCTCACCTGAGGCTGAACAGAGAGGTGAGAGCTTTCACTGACAAAAAAGTGAGTGAAGACAAGCACTGTCCACCCAACTCTTTGTTACTGTTGGAAAGATCACATATCATGACATCTACAGCTGAAGCTCTTGAAAGACATAAACATCTCTCCTTTCAAAGGCCCTTACTCAAAACTGAACTGGGATGCAATAAATCAGCCCCCACATTCACACAGAAAACCAAAAATTAAAAAAAGAAAAAAAAAAAGGGATGCAATAAATCAGCCCCCACATTCACACAGAAAACCAAAAATTAAAAAAAGAAAAAAAAAAAAAAAAAAAAAAAAAAAAAAAAAAAAAAAAAAAAAAAAAAAAAAAAAAAGAAAGAAAAGAGAGAAAGAAAGAAAGGAAGGAAGGGGAAATTCAGATTAGTCACAAAGAAGTTCCCCCGCCTGCTTCGCTGTGCATAAAGCGATCTCCTGAAGGCACTGTCTTCACTTCATCTCTGCTCCTGGCACAGAGCTCACCAATCCCCTCCTCCCTCTGTGCTCCTGCAGTGCTCCCAGCCCCTTCTGCAGCAGCTGCCGGCAGCGAGGCTGAGATGGAAGGCCAGCCAGATGCAGAGCCAAAGAATGGAGAGCAGATGGAATGTGAAAGGGAGAGTGCGGAGGATGAGTGGAAGCGCTGGCAAAGAGGACAGGTTAGGAACACGCTGCACCTCGTGTCCGCAGTTGCTCAGTGGATATTACTGCTTGCCTGCCTGATTTACCTTGGGATGGATTTTCTGCGGCCCTCAAAGGTAAGAGCTCATGTTCAATCCTTTGTCTGCTGGCCTGTAAAGATTTGTAAGAGTGTTGTTTTCTTTTTTTTTTTAAGGAAAGAAAAAAGCTTCTAAGTTTATTCCTATTCAAATCCCAAGTTTTTAATCGCTTCTGCATGGTAGTAATTGTTTTTGGTTTTTTTTTTATATTGCCCGATCTTAAAATAACTTCAGTATTGCCAAGTGCAGGGTTTTGGGCCAAGTTTCCAGAAGAGTGATAGTTCCAAGAATGGTCTTTTCACTGACCCCTGGGRGAGAGCAGTCGGACTCCGTCCCACTCTCCCCCCTTCTTGCAGTGACRCATGTGTGCTTATTTCCATTTAATTGAAGATCATCTGCGTGAATGACAACCAGATTTGCTCATAAACACCTCCTGAACTTCTAAAGTGTGCTATATGACAGACAGATGTGTGACAAGGCAAGTTATCTTGTGACACCTCTAGCAAGACCCTCTGATGCCTTTTGGTGCTCTCAGCCTGCCCATAAAGTGGGGTTAGGAGCAGTCATCTGTGTCTGTGCGTATGTGAGGGAGGTTGGTGTGTCCAGAGGGAGTTTCGTGTATCCACAACACCGCAGAAAACAAGATAAATAACAGAGATGCTTGCAGCTTACAATACGTTAGCACAAGTTGCAGCACACACGTGCCTCTCTCATGTGTTTGCAGGCTGATGGATCGTCACAGCCTTTCTCAGTTCCTTCAGTGCTGCTTCTGCAGTAGCGACATCTCCTCCCACTCCTTCTCCAGGAGCTTTGTACCACTTTAAAGCTTGTTGTGCTTCRTTTTACCCGAGTTCATGCTTTCCTCCCACCTAGGCTCGGCACAGAAGTGAGCCAGGCATGTAACCAYGCATGAGAGAGATGGCCTCATGCTCCAGGTCCTCTGCTGTTYAATAAAAACCCTTGTGCTCTGCACRAGTTTCACTGACCTGASTCTCACAAGTGGTTATTAAACTGCAGAACAATGACCCTGATAACACTGAAAGATAACACTTGTCCTTCAGGTCAGTCCTTTTCTCCTTCCACTACTTTGGGAGAGAGAAGTTGCACTGTAAGCTAACAGAGGAAGGCAAGCAATCACACTGCTCAAGGTGCCAAAATCCCTCCTAGGTCACACTCCAGCTGTGAAGCCTCATTTTTCAGTATCTTGCTCTTCTGTAAAAATGTAAATTCTAATCCTCCTCTTCCAGAGGAATTGAACAGGGCTTTTTTCCAGAGGAATGGAGCAGAACATTGCTGCCTGAGAGCCTTACAAACCCAAGAGAGCAGCAGCAGGCGAGGGGACACAGTACATGCCTGGAGTTTCCCTCCCTTGACAGAAACAACWGAAACAGGGTGCTCGAGGAGCAGCAGTGGCAATAGATGAGAAGCCCAGGTCCTGGGAATCACCAAAGGACCTTTTCAGTGTAAACCCTTGCTAACTACAGGCTCAGGAGTAGCTACTATTAAGAGATGACCCYGGTGTCCTGTTTGGAGTGTACTACACTGTGCAGGAGTGGTCTCGTGGGCTGTAAATGAGGGGATTTCATTRCAGTGCAATTAYAGGGCTCAGCTGGRTAACCATSAACTGATCATATARTATCTCCYGAAGARGCAGCAGTACTAATCTGACTTGACYTTTGGGGCAGTTTAGGGACATAAACTTTATGGAAGTAGGAGCACAGCAACAAGAGAGTGGCAGGCTTGGGAGTGCCGGTCCATGGGAGGGACCGAGTGGCTCTCCCTATCCTTGGGGAGAGTCTCCTTCTGCCCTTCAAGAATGCCACATTAACTTTACTCATGAGGCAATAACTGTTTTTTCRTAGAAAGATCATATTTGATTCCTTTCCATTGTCCTCATGGAAACATGGCTCTTAAAAACACTGCTTCTGGACTGTTCTGTGAAAACACAGCAGAAATAATGTCATGGCAAACACTYAGGAAAGTCAGCATCTACAACCCTGACTGTTCCTAACAAAAAGGGACAGTGSTCTCATTTCTGTCATGTGAGCACTTGGAGAACAAGCCTCAGCTGAGATTTCCAAATGAGGAAGTTTAAAAAAGGGTAGTGATAGTCTGCTTTTGCATCTGCAATTCCYACCTCTGCTGGAATTACCTTCTCCTGCCACACCTTTCCTCTTGCAGGGGAGGTAAAAACCATAATCCTAATAGCTCCTGGTGAGGAGAAGGTACAAGCCACTCCCAGAAAATGTTCACCTGCCACCTATGTGACACCTCCACGTGTGACACGGGCAGCTAATTGCAGCAGTCCCCTCAATCAGCCCCCTGAGGTTTGTGCTTTGTGCAGTACAAATCTGTTCCTGGAACTTCTGCCACGGTGTGGACACAGTATCCCAGCCAGGAGGAATCCTGTTCGGGGTCCAGAACAGGCTGAAATGAAAAATCTGTGTGTAAATGGCACGGGGAAATCTGAAGCAGTCAGTAAGAAACACTGTGTGCTCTGTGTGCTCAGCCCTGCTGGCATCCTGTCCCACAGAAAGGCAGAACAGAGACAAGAGAGCTGAGTAACTTCGGTACAAGCTCCCAGAGTCCTTCCCGTACTGCCARTGCATTGTCTCCTCAGCAGGATTTACCAGCAGGTAACTGCAAAGTGCTTTGAGATCACACAATAAATGGAAGAGACACGTCAAACAGGTCATCTGCATTAGTGACAACGGGACTGATATTCTTATAATTGCCGTGAGTTTGTCACCCACGCTGTCTGTGTTTATTACATGCTGTCCACCAGTGGCCAGACTGCACAGATTGTGGTAAACTTGTGTGATCTCAGATGCTCGGTGCTTTGCTATCATCTTGTTGGGAAACTACCTGGAAATCCCGGCTGCCTGCGCCGGGAGAGAAATGCTGGTGCACCCAGGTGCCTCGAAGAAGAGCAAGCACGGGATTCAAGCCGAGGGGAGGGACAGGGACGAGAATGCCAGGGGAGATAGATCCACCACTGTCCCTGCGCAGTTCAGGCTTCTATTTGTCAGCGGTACCAGCTTTGCCGGGGTAGAGGCGAGGAGCATCAGCCGTGGCAGCACTAGAGGGTGCCAGAGCAGACCTTTCCCCGCAACAGCACCCAGCTCACCTCGGGCACAGAGCGCACAGGGCGGCCGGCTGTCCGCCGCCTTCCCCTGCTGCTGGCCTYTGCCCCGAACCCGCACAGAGTCTGTGCTCACATCCCGCACATTCCCTGTGCTCTGCCCCTGGAACACCTGCAGCCATGAAAGTCATGAAAGTCAGCCCAATCCTCATCTCACCAGCTCACCGCCTCCCTTAGGAAGCCTTTGGCACAGGTAAAGACAAGAACACAGAGCACTGAGCCTGAGCTTTCACTCTTTAATCAGGCAAAACGCTGAAGACTTGTGGTTGTGCAGAGACTGCAGATTTGGGTCTCCTGTGGTTATGATGAGAGAGAACTTYGAGATGCGAAGTTCAGATTTAAAAATCCAATACATAAGCTTGGTGGTTTGTGTATCTGACCAGTAAGATACACACTTCTGTATTTGCATTCACTTTCTCTGCTTCATTCATAAAACTCAGATCACAGAATCATAGAATGGTTCAAGTTGGAAGGGACCTTGAAAATCTTCTCTTTCCAACCTCCCTACCATGGGCAGGGAGATCTTCCACTAGCCTAGGTTGTTGAAAGCCCCATCTAACTTGGCCTTGAACACTTGCAGGGATGAGGCATCCACAGCTCCTTTGGACAATCTGTGCCAGTGCCTCACCACCCTCACAGAGAAGAAATTMTTCCTAATACTCAATCTAAACCTGCCCTCATTCCCCTCTATCCTATCACTCCAAGCCCTTGTCAAAGGYCCCTCTCCAGCTCTCTTGTAGCCCCCCTAGATTGTGGGAGACACTTTGAGTTCTCCCTAAAGCYTTCTCTTCCCCAGGCTGAACAGCCCCAACTCTCTCTGTCTGCCTTCATAAGAGAGGGGCTCCAATCAATTTTAAACACATCTCAATGCACTTAAGAGCCTCTGAGAGACAGACCCACATCCATTAGCAGCCTGACCCAAAGTGCAAGGAACCATAAAGCCAGACCCACCTCTTGGTCCCTGCAGGAGGGTCAGCAYGCCTGGGTYGCTGCTCTGCGAACGATGCCTTTCKGTAGGTSACATAAATTCAGGCTCCAGGAGGTCATGCAGAAAAGGCTCTGCACCCCAACGTCCTTCCAGGCTGTTTGCTCTGACTCGATTACCCTCAGCAGCATGGTTTTCTGAATGAAACCAGCACTGCCTGGGTGCTCTGGAGGGCTCAGCACCGGGCTGGAAGTCTCACTGGYTGGGAACCACGTTAAAATAGCATTTTATAATAGTGATATAAAAACAAGTCCAGAGCCCAGGTGGCTGGCAGCAGCTGTGCCAGCTGAGTCTGCCTGTTGTACTTTTGGAGACTCAGCCTCAGTCCTGGCTGGGAAATGAAAGTGATAGCAGCAGCAGTGAGGGGCCAGCCCCGTGCTTTAACGAGGATTTCTCTTCTTTGTTTTCCAGCCTCAGAGACACGAARTGCCATGGACCCACATCCGGTACTCAGGTGGGTGTTGGGGTGGGGGCACCCTGGGACAGTCCCTGGCCCCTCAATGATCCTCCAGTGCAGGAGCCACCACTGTGCCACATTCCCCTGGCACACTGGGGTGCTCCTGGCTCCCCACTTTACCATAGTCCCCAGAGACCTCCATATGGCATCTGGTGGCCCCTAAAATACCTAAATGGCTGTTATGTCTTTTGTGCCACAGTAGCTGTTTCTTGTGACAGAAGACTGCTGCCAGGAGAGCTGTCATAGGGAAAGGGGACAAGAATGCCTGAGTGCTGCAAGGGGCCAAAACAAAACAAATGGGTTTTCCCAGAGCAGAACAAAAAACCTGCAAACCTGCATGGATTTCTGCAACACTCACCTATCTCTTAAAATCAGTTTTCACTCTGTGAATGAACAAGAAAGGCATTTTTGAGAATTTACTAAGTACACACGGGATACTCTTGGGGTATTTCTGAAACAAGTCAATGGTTTCCTGATTTATGAAAAATGTAAATGATTTCCTGGGGAAGAGTGGGTGAGTGCACACACCATATCAGATGTGCTGCTCTGCGTGCTGGCTACTTTGGATGTTTGTCCGATGCCACACCTCAAAGACAAAACCAATTACTAAAATTTTTAAATCATACTTAAAGTACTGTTCACATTTTTACTTTCAGTTAAAATTGTGTGGCAGCAATTAGTTTAACCTAATAGAAACTCMTGTCCTTTAGAAGAAAAGCTTGAGAAATCTGGCCCGAGCCCAGAGAAGCTGTGCTGCCTGCCTGGAGACCTTCTGGCTGCCCTTCTTCCAAGGGTTTTCAGCTGGTGTGCTGAAACCCCAGGGGCACAGCAGAGAGACATGGCCAGCACAGCCATGGGAACTGTTACTGCTCGTTCCATGAGAAAACCTGTCATGCTAAGTTCCAGTTTAATTTCTTCTTATTCTGCTCTGTAGTAATCAGTTCCTTCTGCTTCTGTCTCTATGCTGCTCTTTTAGTCTGTCTTCTTTTAAAAAACCACCATAACCAAACCCTAAGACAAAGGGCTTATGTTACCAGCATCTCTGCAGAAACCACTTTTKGTCTTCCTTCCAGCTCTGAACATTTTTTCCTCATCTTATTTAATGTCTTCATTTTCCCATTCTTTTTAGGAACATRTGCTTTCTAAACTCACAGTAATGCTTTACTTACAGCACTTTTATGTATTCCAAGTAAGACATAAAGTAAGTAAATAGTGCACAAATAAAAATTTGGAGGAATAATTAATGTAAACAAGAGTTGTAGTCTAAAAGATACAGCTAAGTCAAGAGTGAGAACCTGYAAATTTTCACAGCAGATGATGTCTGTCTAGAGTAGATGATATTCTAGCTCTGGTCTGCCCTACTCTCTAGTTCACTCTCACCTTTCTTATATTCATCTATTTTTCCTGTAGTCATTGGGTATAAAACAACCYATTTCCCAGAAGACTTTTGCCATCAAAGGATCACCTTTGCTTTCTTCCATTCCAGGTGAAAGCATCAAAGGAGTAGCCATGAATCTCATTGCTGAACTAGGCTCCATTCAGATCAGGAATGGGTCCATCGTGATCCCCTGTGATGGTCTCTACCTCATATCCCTGAATAGTTCAATCGACCCAGAAGAGGAGGATTTGCTGAAGGTGACCCTGCAGGGGACACAGCAGACAAACTCCCTGTGGGAGCAGACCGTGAACAGCAAAAACACTGCAGTAAATCTCACCACGGTGCTCTTCTTGTTTCATCACGACAGCGTCACTCTGTGGACCAACTCCAATGCCATCATCTCGGATCTGTCCTTTAGCCTGGTCTTGCTAGCTACCCCAAATGATAACTGCTGGGGTTGATGTGTGAAATACAACATGGAAAGCWCAGCCTTCCCTATCAATCTGTAGGTTTTGTACTTGTACAGGCAGACTGCTCTAGAATCCCTCCCTGGGGCTGTGGAAAGCCTCGGTGGGAGTGCAGATAAACCACAGTGCAGACAGGCTTTATATAGTGCATGCAGTGTTCATCCCKTTGGAGCTCTGTGCAGCTGATTTGCTACCTAGGATGGATCTTTCCTACACTGGGAAAGGGATGTGTGGAGCTCTTGAGGAGAACAGAAATGAAAGCCAAAGAAAATCACCCAAGCTTAGCTCATATTCAGAGAAACCCTGGGTTTCTCTATTTACTTGACTGTGTCTGTATATAGTAGAAATGTGCTGTGTTTTTTCTCAAATAAAAGCCTGGTAAGTCGGGAAGATACCTCAARTGCCTTGAAGCCATTTGGAGTAGGAGGAGCATAAATCTACTCAACAGCCCTGTGCCTGACAAGACGGAAAGCAGGGAAAAGGCAGCAAGGGAATGCCTTTGGAATGATCCAGATAAAGGCTGTCTGACAGGTAAAGGCCATGAAAGAAGGTGGAATTTTGAAATGAGCTGACAGGACTGCACTGGACAGCAGAAGCACAGATCATGCACTGACTGTGGGGTTTTGGGGGGAGCAGCTTTTGAGAGCACTGGCTGTTCCAACTATCCGCAAACTACTGAAGCCTGACCCAAAGGAATATCTGGTGGGACATTCATATCTTAAGATGTAAGGTCTCAGAGGAAAATCTCCTTCAAGCACACACACACCCACACACCCTGGCTTGACCCAAAAGTGTTCTAGGCACATAAAAACTTGGGAAAACACGAAGACTTCTAGATTTGGTGAGTTCTCTCTAATGGACCAAGKGAAACCTGCAGGCCTGCGCATCCTTTACTCAGGGAGAACTCAAATGGTTCAGGTGACTCCCCTTGACTTTGTCACACAGGGGTGCACCAGGGATTCACAGGCACGACCTCCACAATGCCCCTTGCACACCTGCCTGGCTCCTGCTGAGGTCAGACTGCTCTCAGTGATCCTGGGCTGCTCATCCCTGCTCTCAGCTTGGGGCTGCTGCGGACAAGTCCTGCCCTGCCCACGCTGCAGGCAGCTCATGACCTCAGCACCGCCAGTACCTGGGGAATTTTCAGTCGGAGCGAGGCAGTTTTTAAGGGCAAGTTGTCTACGTGTCTCCCAATGAACTCCATCAACATTCAGCATGTCACTGCTGGCTGCACACTCCAAAGTCTTTTGTTAAAAGTATTTATGTATTTATATGACAGGCATAAGAATGTTACATCRGATTTCTTAGAAACACTGGGAAGGGCTCAGACCAGGTTGTCAGCACTGAACTCCTCCTTGAAGACACTCCCAGGCCCTGGACTGTGCCTGCTCTGCCCCCAAAAACCAACCTGGACTGACCCCTCGTGGCTGAGCACTCCTGCAGGCTCAGGTGCCACAGACAGCTAAGGAAATCTTCCAGGCCTTGGAGAGCTTTCCATGTGCTTTAGGCTAATGAACTTCCCTACCTCGGCCAGGCCACAGCCTCAGGGGAAACTGCTGTGGCTGAAGCAGTTACTCACACAGTGCCAAGAAGCAGCTTTTCTCCTCTCAACTGAGAAGCTGCGGCTGACTTGCACCCGCAGGGTGCTCGTCATTAAAAGATATTTTTGGGTTTTAATTCTGGCCATGCTTGCCACCACAGGGACTGAAGGCAGCTGCACCCTGCCCCCAGGCTGGGGATTGTCACATTCCCCAGCTGAAGTGAGAATATGTTTATCTTCCAAAAAAATAATAAATTTTTCCTTTGCAGTATATGCTCTTGTAGTGTCTCTTGAGGAGGGGTCTGGGGGAGGAGATTGGAAGTGACTGATGAATTATACATTCAGTGTTTGTGCAAACATACATTGTTATAAAAACTACATAAAATTTTCACATACTTCCTTTTTTTATAGTTCAGCTTTTTTTTCAGCTCTCCACAAGGGTATGCATGGCTGGTGCTTCCCAACATGTGCTAACACAGGGCAGGCCATGGCAGTGATGTGTGCAGGGATGCACAGGGCAGCAAGAAGTATTAAGCCTAGAGAACACAAATGGATTTGTTCTTTGGAAGGCTGCACCCTTTCTTCTTGTTTAGGGCAGGAGAGGGCAYTTCATACACTGATTCCACTGCATTTCCAGGCTGAACTAGATTGATATATAGACTAGACTGCATATATACATATGCATGCACTTGAAATAAAGGTTGAAACAATTCAATTCCTGACATTAATTACTTGAGAGTCTGAGTGCCCTCATCATAAGTTTTGATTCCATCAGCTTTCATTAGCAACTGGAGACCCCTTCTTCTGCAAGGTTGAAAGTCTCTTTGATATGAAAAACATTAATTTTTATTATTGGGGTTGATAAAGCCCTGTAGGAGCTCATAGATGATGCTAGAGACCCATCTTACAGCTCTGTTCAGCCAGGTCAGTGCACTGAGGGTTTAGGTCACCTCTGGACTGTGGAAGTGCAAGGCTGGAYAGACAGTTTTGAAGATAATCCCTGACTCCAGAGGGGCAGCAYAATCTGCTTCCTGTGCTTACTGTCACTGAAAAGGGACCTCATGGTCTGTTCTCCACAAGGCTTTCCATCAGGGCCATTTCACAGGACACAGCCATCAGCTGGGTCATCACYGATTCTCTGAACTCAAAGCAACCTGTCCTGCTGCCATGTCTTGTGCCTAACACAAGCTACTGCACAAACTGCTGAGCTGGCCATGTACTCCTTCCCTTCTCTCTCCTCTTTCCCATCTCTCCTCACTCACATTAAAAAACAGGGCAGGGTGACAAAGCTGAGGTGAGAGCCATGGYCACCACTGGGGAAGGAGCTGACCTGCCTGCTCCTGTCAGAGCTCGCTCTCCTGCTGAAAAGAAACTACAGAAGRTGACGCAGACCAGAATGGGATGGAGACTGCTTCTCTCTACACAGGAAGTTATGAGAAACATTTAAAGTCCATCCACATCCATGTGAAAGTCACCCCAYTTTCTACCACACATGGATAATGGATAATGAGCCTGTGGTTTTTAGACACCACTTACATTTCATCACCCAGCGTGAGTCACAGCTATTGCCTGTGAGCTTCACTAGCAAGAAACAACGAGAAAGCTGAAGGCTGCTTGGCAAAGTTGACTTCTGCTGCTGTAGAGCTGTCCAGCTCAGGCAGCAGAAAGCTCAGGAATTTACTTCCCTTGTTCAGCTGTCAAAATGGGGAAGTGTGACGTAGAATCAAGCAGTAACTAGCTGGGAAGGCTTGACTTACTAGACTTTTCTCAGCAACATCTCTAACTTCAGAGCTGTTCTCTGAGCTGGCAGATTRTTTTCCAAGGGATTCAGACCAGCCRCMGAGATGYTTGTTTCCAGCTATGACTTAATTCAAAAATTAAGCAAATTGAGCAACACGTTCACTGAGGAGTGGGAGGATTTGGTGCCAGGCCAGAAAACAACAGTGGCAAGAGAGCATCAGAAGAATTGATCATTGCCTGCAGCCTYGTATGACCTAAGGCCAGGGAGGATTGGAGAGGGTTATTTGCTCATTCTCTAAGTAGATGAGTAAGGCTGCTAAGGGCTCAATTACTCAGATGAGTAAAGCTGTTAAGGGCTGGCAAGCTGAGCAAGCAGACTGGAGACTGGGGGCACATCTCCCCACGGAGGTGCCAAGCAGTGAGGCAACTTTCTGGCAGTTGCTCAGCATCCCAGAGCAGAACATACCCTGTTGGCAGCACACACGCTGTGCTGGGATAGGCTCTCTGTGCCCACTGCACCCGGAGGCAGGATTCTGAGGAATAGAAAACCCAYAGGTCAGGGCAGGAGAGGGCAGCGGGGCTGGTTGGCCTGGCCCAGGGGAGCAAGGACACTGGGCACAGAGGCCAGRCAAGCACAGGGACAGAGAACTCAGGAGAGATGTGATGCTGGTAGCAAATCCATAGATCGGCAGTCCTTAGGACTTTGGGACTGCAATGTAGGACAGTTGGAAGGTGGGACTCCAGGAGGGTTTCTCCTGTGAGCTCACTGTCCATGAACCAAACCTCTGCAAACACCTGAACACAGCCACTGCCTCCTCAAACACACTTTCTCTCACACAATTACCTTTTAAGCAAAACAGCTCCGTACTCTCACTCACCTATTGTCCCAAAGGGATTGCAAGCCCCGGCTGCTCACAAGCAATGGAGCACTCCCATTCCTGGCCTGCACCTTCTCCTAGCAGTTTGYAGGGGCTGCTAGCCCATGCTGCTCTTTGGTGCCCAGCCAAGGCACAGAGTGGGGAGCTGGGCCTCTGGCCAACATGTTTGGATGGTCTGTCAGTGCTCAGAGGGTAAACAGGACAAGGTTTGGGGCAAGATAAAACTTGATGTGGGCACAGACGTACTTTCCTAATAATTGCTTTCACTGCTTCAAGGCAAAATTCACACCTATTTACTGGAAATCCAGAGACTGTTTCACCTCTTTATATAGAAAAGGTGGTACTGAACACACTGCAAAGATAAACATTTAACCCAGCATAGGATCTGATTCATAAAGGGTACGGCAGCCCTATCATTTCATCACCAAGWACATGCCTGAGACAAGATATCATTGGTGTTATCTCATGGAGTTCAAAGGACTCACCTTCCTTTGTCTTGTTTTGTTAATTTAAGGTTTCTATTGCTGGCAGTGTCTGCTTCTTTGGTTTACTGTCACCAGCACAGAAAGTGAGCAGACCACACACATCCAATGGGGACAAAGAGATGAGTCTTGGTTTCAGACTTTTTTAGGGGTTATGTGCAGCATTTTGAAACATTGGTTGATATGTTCTCCCTTTGTCCCTTTCCATAGCACTCAGAGACATTAGCACACCTGCCAACAAGAACCCATATGTGCTGGGTTAACAGCTGGACTTGATAGTCTTGAAGTCTTTCCCAACCTAAACAATTCTATGATTCCATGTGTTCCACCCTTGAAAATGTGAAGGACTAACTCTGGTAGCTGTTCACCTGCCCTGAAAAGCCTCAGATTGTACACTGTCCCCTGCAACAACCCCACTTTACAAGGAAAGGTTTGCTCCAGATTGCAGGAGAAAAATCTCACTGCATTTCCACTTGGTTTCAATAACTCAAGTAATCTCCCAGGCGTGCCTTGTGTTGTGCTTGATCCTTTTTCCAAAAAGCTGTCTGTGAGAACTGTGCTGCAAGGAGGTGTTGCTGAGCTGAACACCAGTCACACCATAAACACCCCAAGGTTTGAGGTCAGCRCAACAATGCTGAGTAAAGAAAGCTGTGTTAGACCAGAGACGAGGCTGARTCAATGACCAAAACCTAAACTTAGTGGAAACCACTGGTGCTGCATAATTAACATCTGCTACATTTCACACTGAAAACACAGCTGATCGAAAAAGCAGAGAGACAAAATCACCAAAGGGTACCAAGCAGATTGAGAAGATGGCTTTGGTGAGAGACAAGTGCATCCTCCACGTGTGTTGGGTGCAAGCTCTTGACCTGCAGATGAGCATTCCTATTTGTGGCTGGAAGCAGCTCCTGCTTACAAACTCCCCAGGACAGGGTGTTTTGGATCCTGGGAAAACCACACTCACAAACCATATACATTAAGAGATGTGAGCACTGTAATTATCCCTGGAAGGCTTCTGGGCAGGACATGCAGGCTGGGACAGTGTCTTGGCTTATCAGCACCCAGGGCAAAGTGCTAAATCATATAGCATCAGGAGTCACTGTCATACAGCACATCATACCAAGGGGATGTTAAATCACACAGTTTTAAATAACAATTATTGTGATTGAAAAACAAGTTAGCTTAGTCAGAGAACATACTCATAAGTCATAGGGAAAGAACACACTTCTCTCAATAAAAAAGATCTTATCTACTGAGGGTCATCTGCGTAAGCCCATTAATTAAGGTGTTTTGCTCAGTGGTGATGCCTATCAGATGTTCTACTTCTTGTGTACATTTTCCTTGGGCCTAAGGCTATTCTATAATCCCACTCTGAGAGAAACATTTCCTGACCTTGTAATTCTGGAGCATAGCTCTGAATGAGTGGCTTTGTGTACACCAGCTCTATCCTGGAGAGACCAGCGCTATCTGATCACTGTGGCCCCAAAGGCATGTGAGAGGAACTTGGATTTTTTTTCTCTGTCTTGTTTTGCACCCACTGTCCCAAACTGAACGCAGTGAGTCAGACCTGGAGGTTTGGAACTTTGTTTTTCTCCTTGTCCTCCTGACCACGATGATCAAAGGCACGAGTATATTAAAATACTTCAAATGGAAGAACATTTGCTCTCATTCTTGCAACACTTTTGCACTTGTGTTTTCTCCAAACCCAGGAAACTGCGACAACAAATTAAGACAGATTAAGAAGGGACTGYGGTTGCAGGTATTGTGTCACAAATATCTGAGGATTGTCCATCTCAGTTTAGCTGCTTCTGAGTCTGGTCTGCAATGCTTGCACACCTGCAAASACAGGTGCAGTTATGCCAGGTGCATCATGTTTTCCTCACAGCTCCTGTAAGACCAACTTCAGCAAAAGGCAAGGCATATGAATTCAGCAATGTGCTGAGAAAAATGAACCTCAGGCCCAGACCCACAGTGTCGTTTGAAATGGTCTTGAGTTGCTGTGGTGGATTTCCACAGCGTGAAGTACCAGACTGACCACTTGGGGGTTGCAGGAATCACTCTGATGCTGCCCAGACCATGGAGAGTKTTGCTCGCTGCTGCTCTGGTCACARCCAAGGGATGAACGGGGCAAGAGGWGACACAAAAAGGCAGTGGGCAGAAGGC